CAAGGACATACCATACTTAAAATATAATAGAAGTCCCCGTTAGAATAGATAGCACTTACATTGAACACGGTTGCACTAACTCCTGAGCCGCACGTAAACGCACCGCTGACGACGCCACAGGTGCCTTTGGAAGATTTAAGAGTGAAGCCCGAGCCTAAAAGAAAAGTGGTATCAGCGTATTAATTTTACATCACGGATAGAAAGGGAGGCAGGATACTCACCCGAAGCTGTGGCAGTGTATGTTGCACATGTCCCTGTCGTATACCATGTGCCTGCCGAGATAAGGCACCCATCTTCATTTCCGTTATAGTACGCATTCAAGTAGCTATCAAGGGGTTATCATTAGACACATAGCCAACATAGAAATTGAAGCACTATGTCTCCTGTATTTTGTTACGGTTGGGTAAAGACCTACCCTTGCCCAGAAAATGTGCCCGTTGCCGTACTTGTGGGTGAAGTAGTCTATAATGAAATGTGTTAGTATGATGTTCCGAGCGCCACGTCCTGTCTGCTTGTTCATATTCCAGCGAGGTATCTTTTTAAGTCTAGGCCCGCAACTTGTGTATCAACTTACTGCGAAATGTCAGTTTTAAGTATCTGGCATTATATAAAAGGAAAGTATTTGAATACTACATACCAGTCTTAGTAGCAGTCGTTGTAGTACTAGTTGGGGCTGTACCAGTACCGCTCTTGGGCAGGTACTTGATACCGCTGCTGGGACAGTTTGAGGTGTCGCCAACTACCAGCCACCAATATAAGTTAGTAAACTGCGTCTAAGTAAGGGATCTAAGAAACCCAGGCTATGTAGAAGTAAACCAAAACCGGAACGGTAAAGTTGAGACTTCTCTCACTCGATTCGTCGCAACTTACCAATGGTCGAGGGTACGAAATCAGCGTTTGTCAAAGGTCCGTTGACAAAGAACCCATAGTATACTTGGGATAATTCGCTGTTAGAACAAGAAATAACTGCGGCTTTTCCAGTGACCTTCAGGAGGGCAGCTTGTATTGCTGAAGATGTATAGGTCTTTGAGCTCGATGGGGTAATGCCAGCAGCACTTAAAGCGCCGTATGTATCCAATGTCTTGAACAAATCGACAACGACTTGGAAGAAGTCTGCAGCTTCTTGTCCTTTCGTATAACTTGAATAACAGTCCGGGTCGAGTGTACTAACGCAAGTCCCGTGTGTTGACCACTCGTGCTCCCAGAATTCTTCGGTGGTCTCGTCATTGCTCTGCCAGTATTCTTGCATATAAGTCACGAGCGACGACTTGCCGTTGTTTTGGAGAATGGTCGTTATATCGGTGTATGCGCGTGACGAGTCACAGTTCTCGGAATAAGTCCCATCGCAATTATCAGGCCATAATCCGTGGATTGTCCAGGAGTTGCTTGGTCCGGTAACGGGGTCCGTGTCCCAGAACTGCGTCTGGAGGAATTGGCCGCCTGGTTTATTAACGCAACAGGAGCTGACTGAGGAAGAGCTAGCAGACGAGGAACAGCTCTCGACTGTGCTTGAGCATGTAGCGCGCGCGGTAAGCGAGAGGGCTTTAGCGACAGGCACAGCCGCAAGGGCTATTGAGATGACTCCGAAGGCCATGATTGTAATCAGACGTCCTCCAGGTCACGAGGAGGGACACGAAAGGGAATAGGCGCCAAGCAGGACAGGCACTGGTAAAGACACGCAAAAAATCTTGGCAAGGAATCTTGGAAGCCGTTTCTTGTACTTATACAGCGGCCATCCTGCTATGTCAAACCCGCGACAGCGAGCCTGTTATCGCGGGTACTGAGCTCAGGGATGCATAGCATGGCATTCCACCTGCCAAACCAAGACCGAGGCCTACGCGGCCAGAGAGCACTAGTATTCCAGCGCATGATGATACGGAGCAGAACTTCCGGATTCGGAAGGTTATATAATCGCAGAGTAGTGTAGCAGCTGGCCTGTATCTAGGAATTGGAGCTTCAGTTCGTTAGTCCCCATACGAAATTGACGAATTAATCGCATTCTCCGAGCCCCCTGCTCCCCCACACGATAGTCATTTGTCGAGCCCGCTACCTCACTAGGCGGGAGACATATAGAGTATTGTGGCCTGTCATCTCGTCCTGGACCAATAAGATGCTCTACCTTGAACATGTTTCGAGGTCATAAAACATAGACCTTTCCGAATTGCTACATGCAACCTGGCTGCCAACAAATGAGAAAGGCTAAATGTAACACCCCGAAACTGTTTCTTTTTTGTTCATCCTAGGTTTCGTATGACTAAGTGCATAGAGTATTGAACGGAGAAAAAAGAAAGCTTGTTTTAAGTCAAGCAGTTGCCTATTTAGTAATATCAGGCGTCCCACTAATTGGAAACTCGTTCTATTAGGTAGTCTTCACTGTTGTAAACTTCTCTTCGACCTTACCCTCGTCGAGGTCAATGGTGACTTAGAGATTAAACCGGTGGAACTACTGGTAAGTGAACCACAACCTAGGTACTTACCAAGATACATCTCAACCGACTGCAGGTGCTTTGCGACATCAAACAAGCAATAACGAACGACGCGTTGTTAGGGTGTGTCTCTTGATATATTGAACGTCAGTGTAAACAGTACTATATCTCTCTACTTTACAACTCACAAACTTATGCACTGTACCGACCTACTGCGGCTATCATAGGATTCGTAAATCCCGTCCTTCACATTAGAATTTTGGTGGCACCGACACAATATTTATTGCCGAGCTGAGAGAAGACAAGTACATAGGCTAGGGACTGACTAGATATCTGCCTACTTCTGTGGCCAGCTTCATCCAGTCTTCACCCTGAAACGTCTAGTTCCGTATATCACTCTGCGAACTGTCCCTTAAGGCCGTACTTTTACGAGTGAGCTCACGAGGAATCGAGAAAAGATAGAAGAGCGACGACACCATCTCTTGCACATGATCAGCTTCATTTTTCCCTATCCACATTACTCCCATGCTCTATGCTTCGCCAATTTCCGCAGAGCAGAAGTGGCCGTTTTCCATCCCGTGAGGCTGATGACCACCGCCGCTAGACGTGCTAACAAAATGAATCGGACCGTCAGATATGTCGGCGTAGTCGAGCGCCAGCATCTTCTTCACGTTCTCGTTCTTGAGGATCTTGCAGAACTTCTTGTGTTCGTCCCAGCCCTTCCTTTGGCATTCCTTTCCACGAATTAGCAAACTTTCAACACGATTAGAAAGGTTTGCATTAGCCCGTACGGCCCCGGGCGGTAGAAGAAGCGAAGGTTATAGGGGGTTAGACTGGGTAGTACACTTACTTGGTTGCAGTAGTGGAACAGCATGCACCGGCCGCATTTGTCGAGATTGGCCTTGACTTCGCCGCAGCCATGACACTTCCGGGACGTGCCATCGCGGTTCACAAATTCGACGGCTTGCTTGTTCATGGTGATAGCGTCACTAAGCTCTAGAGGAATGATCTACAGCATCATGAAATGTCGTTAGAGTCCGCGGCGAGAAAGTCTCCTACGTCGCATGCAACGGGGTCAGCGAGGGGCTACATACCATAGACTCACGCGAGCTGTTGAGGCGGATGTTGATACTCTTATCCTCGAAGACGTGAGTTGGCGCGTAGAATAGGACGATGGTATTGCCGGGCGTGAAATGCTCCAGGATTCGTGGCATATCGGTCTCGTTGCGGCAGTAGAATTCGACGGTAAATTTGAAGCCCGTGATATCCCGACAAAGAAGGCGTGGCCGTAGGATGGTATCGGTGAGGACAATCTCGGCCAGCAGACAGTAGTGCTTCTCCGGATACAATCCGATGCTAATCTCGTACTCGGACGGTATGGTACTGAAGGGTGGGAAGTAGGCCCGGTCTTCCCAGGACTGGATGAGTTTCTTCTGGTCTGCCATTATCCTCGCTTCGCACTCTTCGGTCCCCAATGATGGGTTGTATATGACTGATGGTACGATGACTTATCCAGATAAGATGTGAGAAGGATAGGTCTAAGTTACCAGAGTATCAAAATCTACCCCTGTGATAGAACGGAAGAAAAGTGGTAGGATACAGGGAGACAGAATTTATACGTCTATGATCAACGAAATGGGGTCGTGGGCGAGGCAGTAGCTACTAGAGCCCTATCGCTAGGGTTCCTGCATCGAAGAATATACTGTAGCGCAACGAAGTAGATTGTTGTCGTCGTTGTCGTCGGAGAGACAAGGAGTACCTAGGTAATTGACATGTAATTCACAGTGATTCACAGTGACTGGTGATTTAGACACTGGCCCCCCTCTCCTATTGTTACACCACAACAGCTCAGCATTTGCTCTTTGTCACGTATATGTATCACAATATTAGACCCGGTTTTGATGATCCAGTAGCCTAGTAGCCTAGCAACTCAGCTAGCCCTTAGCAACTTGGATGAGATTCTCTTAGGAGACTGACACATTAGGATGCATGCCTATCACAGACCTTTTCACTGCTGACAGTTCTGCCATCCCATATGATGTGAATGTGGGATCCGTGGAGAGTGTTTTACTTATGATGTAGTTTGAAAACTTGGGCATATAGGTCTCCGGCGGGAGAAACAAGGAGGAAGTAGATATTCCCTCTATTGTCCTTATTAGAAGGGCTATGTTGTAGGCTTCCAATTTTCTTGATGCCCCAACTTCATGATCATTATTATTCTCATTTGGTATCTAATAAACTACTGGTCGCCATAATAGACAGGGCCGGCTGTGGAATATTATGTCGACCATTTCCTGTCCTAACATAGGTGGTAATTACTGTAATAGTTAGTTAGTATATATATAATAATAGGTTTGCTTGTTTATTCACCCTTCTGCCCCTTTTTATTGCTTCAATAGCCCATAGTTTCTTGCCGTGACTAGTGCAAAGTTCGATTCAACCCCCATTGCGTGTACCACCAACATCATTCATTCATGATTCGAATAAGTGAAGAAAGTAGGTTAGCCAACAAAGCCAACCAAAGAAAACAAAAAACACTAAATAAAAGAGCAAAAATGCAAAAAGAAGATTGGTTGGACGCACGGGGAATTGAACCCCGGACCCTTCGCAGGCATTTATTCTGAACTATTCAGATGCAAAGCGAATATCATACCTCTAGACCATGCGCCCGTTTTTGGTGGATCACCACTGGTGTGGCGACGATAAAACTTAGCCTAAGTCTAGGGGTTTGTGGAGCTGTGAGTCTAACCAATTAAAGGCTAGGCCAGGCACCGGGTGAATGTCCATTGGGCTTTAGCCAATAAAGTTTCAGTTAAGAAAGTTCAAATGGCTTTTTTTAATCTGTTTATTATAACTACGCAGAAACAATGAAAAGCTCTTCTACTTGTGGCTTTCCTGTTTTCTCTAAGATAACCGAGGGAATTATTTCCAACCAATACCGTGACTTATCTCACCGAAACAAGTATGTCACTATATATTGGGTCGCCGCGGGGGAAGTAAAAGGCAAGAGATCACAAGATAAAATGAAGTAGATTTGGAAATGTAAAAGTGAGAAATTTTCTATAATAATGTCGCAATCTATATTTTACAAAACGCACCTATCTAGGTTGGTATACTTACCTACTTAAGCAGGGGAACAGAAAGAAAAAAAAAACATAAGGCAGTTATTCACGGAGGGAGAGACTTACATATCCTACAGAGAAGCATGGCGAAAACAAGCTGAGGCTATGCAATTATCAACTTACTCTATTTCCCCGGTCACGTCATCACATCTTCCCCCGAAAGGTATTAATTTGCGTGACGGAAGAGGCGTTAGGATGCCGGGTCCAGCGGGCATCACTTGTAGACTCATGGGGTGGCTCAAGGTCAACCTCCGAGGCGGTGGCCCTGCCCTGCCGCCACCGCCCTTCGCTCGCAACGGGTGTGGATGGCGATGTCATTCCGGGTACTACGTCTCTCTGCCTTGGCGTCCTAATCCCTTCACGGAGTTCAGACTCGGCAATACTCTCATGCGAGAAACCGAGAGATGGGACCACGCTAGAAATGGATGCTACGCTGCTTCTGCTATAGACGGAGCTGGATGCTCTGGAGACGGGCCTCGTTCTCCGGCGGGTCTGTGATGGCGCCGGTGTGGATGTCCCGGGGCGAGTACGAAGAGAGTCTCTCTCCTGCAAGTCCTCCCCCCTCGGCCTGAAGCGTTCCATAAGGAACGCGTTCCGTTGTTCTGAGAGTGTAGAGCCCGCATCAGAATTTGGGATAAATAATCGCTGATAACGTGGATTCTCAAGGGTGACTGGGGGATGTCCGCGCGGCGGAGCAGGCCAATTAGGCGGTGGGTCCCTGCTATTCGTGTTCGATGACGACGGCGAAGTGATGGAGTCTCTAGTGGTTTCAGGAGTGATATCACCATCCGGCGAGGGGCGTCCATTCTGTCTATACTCCGAGGGTATCCTTGGCACTGGCGGTATGTCAGCAGTATCGGGCCCCGTGGAATTCGGATCTGCCGTGTACGCAGTACAATCTGTCCATACACTCGGTGCCGAGTTACGACGCCCTCTAGTTTGGTTGGCACGTGGTTCACGATCCTTCTTGAAATGAAGGGGAGTTGGCAGAGCTGATACGGCGATATGACTGGCACTAGGGCGAAAGGCAGGGTGTACCATTGACAACATGGATTCAGCATCGTCCTGACTGAGATCTAGTTCAGACTGAGATACTTGGGTAGCCCACCAGTCCTGTACTTTAGCTCTGCTTTCCTCGATGTAGTCAATTTCGTCTAGTTCTTTTTCTTCTTCGGAGTTGTAGCGATCAGCATCGTCGTGGATAGACACCTCTTGCTCAAATCGATGAAGAAAAGATTCGGTCGGTAAACCGTCACTAGGTCCGCTCACTCGGACCGGCTCGGGGGCAGGAGGCCGAGGGCCAGCACTGGTACTAGGGTCATAAGCAGCTTGCTGTCGATCATGCACGCTAGAATACCCAGAAAGACTATCAGGACGATAGATACTCTCCCTTCTGTCCCTGGACATGGCGGCCCTTCTCTGGTCTTCAGCTCCACCAATGTCGACCAGGGCAACCGGAATTCCGTTTCTTGTTCGTCTTACATGACCAGCATTGGGAGGAAGAAGCGCAATCTCGGCGCCTGTACGGGTCCTTCGAAGCTCGGCATATACAGGACGTTGTGCAGCTCGTAATGCGGCGTGGTGCTGTTTTTGTTCAACTCGCCACGCTTTGATCTGAGGTCTCGCCATCCTCAGGTCGACTAGTAGAGCTTCACTCAGAGCCCTGCATTGTTCAGGTCGGTCCACGGTGTCGCGGTGCTTTCGAAGCTGGTCGATCCAAGCTTCCACAACACGGTATAGACGAGGTTTCTTACCTGAAGGCTTGTCCCGACGGCGTTCCATGCGGTCAATGAGAGCCGCTCGGAGGTCTGCTAGGGCTCGGCCGCTGGCACCCACAGCCGCAAGGCAACAGGCTTCACATCCAGATTTGACAAATACGTGGTGGCCGTCGAAAGGAGCGAGCCCGTATATCTCGTGGAAAAGTCGGGGCGCAGTCCACAGTGCCACAATCGAGTCAAGTCGTCCAACAAGAGCAGAAAGCTCAGGATCCAAGGCTCTGCCTTGCCATGAACGCAAGGAATCTGTGTGAACTGTGACTTCATACGCGAGGGCAATGAAAAGTCTTCGTATCAGAAAGGGGTTAAGGGCAGAATGCGTTTTGCAGAGCACCGCCTGCGGGTCGACAATGTTCGGGTCGATGCGATCAACAATCTTAATTGCTAGACGCTTTAGGCTTGACGGCCTTAGTAATTCTTTGGGAAGATGATTTATTTTTTCTTCTTGTCTTTGCAGCCATCTCCGAGAAGGGATAGCGATGCCGTATTCGGGACGTCGTGCAAGCAGGTTGGCGATGCGCGTGACGAGCTCGTCCGATAAGTCCTGAATCCCAATACTCATGAGGAGATACACACAAGACAGCGGAGAGTTTGTAACAAATTGTTCTGATTTAAGGAGGTGATTTCACAGGCGAAAATGGAGTCAGCTTCGGCTGATAAATCAATTGTAGGTAGGTAATTTTGATTGAATAAGGCAACGAGGGCTTATAGTTGGAGAGAATAGTTTCTGGCGGGTCGAATGGACTCGTATTATAACTTCCAGAGCACCTCGCGCCTCGCTTTGAAACAGCAAGACAAGGACTATCGTTTCAAAGACATCGAGTGCATTGTGGCTTTCTTCCGACGATTCTCAGCACACTGAACGAGTATTCCTTTGTTTCGAATGTACTTGCCGTGTTTTGTAAACATGTGCATTGTTTCCGCTGCTCGGAGTTGAAGAGGACATGGACCCTGAGAACGGAACGATATATAAACAGGAGCTGTTGCAGAACAAGCTATAAGAAGTAGTGTTAGCATGGCTCGAAGGAAAATGCACTCACTAGAAGAAACAAGAGTAAATACCTTCCAGTTGTCAAATTACTGGCTACTGGGCTCGACCAAATTCTTGGTTATCAGACAATGAAGCACCAAGCACCCATCCATTATCTGCAGAGAAAAATGCTGGTAACGATAATATTGCCCGGTGCAAAGTATATATTGATAAGACGTAACTACGTCAATGCCCTTTGATCATGGATGTCCTTTGACAGATTTCTCTATGTAAAGTGCTGGCATTACCTTGGATATACCACTTAATGCTGGTCAAAACGCCGTTTGGGTACCACCCGTCATGCACGCTGATAGAGATATGGGCATATAACCCCGCCAACATATGCATCATAAAACTTTAGTCCTGGTGAAATGTACATTTTTCCTTCGATATAAACATTGTTCCTGAAGGGGATTGTAGCTCTCCTATGCTGCGACTGGGACTCGAGATGTATGGTACTCGCTATCCCTCGCACGTTCCAGTCGGATTTTTAAAGCCTCGGTTCCATCATCGGGAATGGCAGCTTCTCGAAACCACGGATGTGCTAGAGCCTGACGAGCAGTGATTCGCTTCGCCGGGTCATATACAAAGATCTTGTTTAAAAGATCTAGAAAGAGCCGAAGAAAAGGACTTGTGCTCGGAATAATATCCTAACATCATGTTAGATAGAGTTTAATACCAGTAGGTTTGAACTTACACTTAGCCGTTTCATATTTCGAACAAATCGCCTAGATGCCCTTGTAGTATCGGCGGTAGGATAATCTAGTTTTAAACGTTTGAAATACCTAGTTGTTATATTAGAATCTGCCTCGCTTCCACGGATACTTCAAAACATACTTGGCAGGGGAATTGCTGCTGTTGCGTGATGTTGATTTGTTGACCTGCTGTACGAGATGTGTGTCAATTCGGCTGTCACACACGTTCTCCATCATCGCTAGATGTTCGAGATTATCATGAGTCTGGAAGAGTGCGTCCCCGGTGAAAAACTCGACCAGAATACATCCGATACTCCAGATGTCGCACGGAAAGGACCAGCCAAGGCCAAGTATGATCTCCGGGGCACGATAGTGGCGAGTGGAGACAACGGACGAGTGATACTCGTCGTCGAAAGTGGCGGACCCAAAATCTATCAAACGAATCTCGGTATCCAGTAGAACCTTGCGCTGTGTAGCTTGCCGATTTGTGCCATTTGTTGACGATGGTATTCGCCTATTGTAGGTGAAGGTCTGATAGGCACTGTCACAAAGGAGAATATTCTCGGGTTTGAGATCGGTATGGATAAGATTTAGGTCATGAAGAACTGGATTATGTGTCAGCGTGAAACAGGCTATGGCTTGTTCGAGTTGGACTCACAGGCGACGCTCGTTAATAATTGGCGAGCAAAGCTCTGTATTTGACTGTTCGGGAAAGGAACAAAGTTATTGCTCTTCAGAAAATCAAACACACTTGAGCCCAGCAGATCCATTACTATACAGATGTGGCCGCGGAAATCGAAGCAGTCTCGTAGATGGATACATCGGTTGCGGTTTTCCGGGTCGTTGGCTTTCAGCGTCTGAAGCACTCGCAACTCGATCCTCGAGGCGTCTCGGTACTTTTGTACAGCTCGAATAATTTTGATTGCAACAAGCTTACTTCGCTTGCGATCCCGGGCCTCGACAACTTTGCCAAAGGTGCCTTGTCCAAGAAGTTTCCTGATTTGATCTATGCAACCGTTAGAGTACGATGTAGGCTAGTGAAAAATAG